GTGCAGAGCCCAATGTGGGGCTCGAACCCACAAAACTGTGAGACCATGACCTGAGCTGAAATCAAGAGTCAGACACTCAACCGGCTGAGTCACCCAGGTGCCCTGAGCCTGTCCTTTCTAGATGCTACATAGAAGTGATATCATGCAGAATTTGTCTTTCTTTGTACAACTCATTTCACATAACTTAATGCCCTCAAGGTCCATCCAAGTGTCAAAAATGGTGGATTTTGTGTTTAGAAGGTCATTGTCACACCGGGGTTTTGACTCCAAGAGAGGCTTTTATGTGCTGTTTCCTCCGCACCCCCACCCCCCAAGGCTTCAGAATATCCTTGATTCAGTCATGTCCAAACAGCATTGGGGGCCCGTTGGTTTCTGTGTTCCTGCTTGTTCCATGGTCCAGCTTGCTCCCCTGGCTTCTTCTCCCAGAGGTGCCGATATCTCGCTGCTGGGTACGCAGCCTTCTACCCAAACGTACCTGCTGTTCTCCAATGAGGCTTTGCTGACCTTACCACCCTTAAAGCTTATGGTAGTGTTGTGACACTAGCGGACAGTAGTGGAACTGAAGGAAATTGAAGATTGAAATATCAACAAATATTTTCTGAGGGTCTAAGCTACTCTGTGGCAAGAGAGAGGCCCTCTGAACCTTCCCATTTGTTTCTTCTTTTCTTTGTACAGAAAATATCATTCATTTTTTCTTTAGCCTTATTGCAGGGGGTTTTCAGGGACCAAATAAGAGATTTCCATTCTAAATGGTCATATTGGGCTGGTCCGTTTGGTGGAATAAATCAAAACAATCCTCAGCTTTGGGGATCAGTTCTTTGCTTGAGGATTTTCTCAGTGGCTTGCAGTCAAGAAACGTGAAATGGGACAGAATATCCATGTTAGACCTTGGTTTGCCCGTAGAGTAATAACAAAATCTCACTTTCATATAGCTTTCCATGGTTTACAGAGTGTTTGCTTATTAATGATTTCAGTTGACCCTCATTACCACCTTGTGAAACACACATGAAAGCCCTGTCATGGGAGAAAGTGGGGAAGACCTTCCAGCCTGGGTTCTGTGTTCCTTCACATGTTGTGTTCCTGTCACACGGGGTACCGTGACACTGCCGGTGTGTGTCTGTAGAAGAATTTGATTTAAATATAGGATGGCTGACAACCTAGTAACTGTGTTCCTCCTTTGTTCTTAAGGAAGACCATAGAATGTTCTAGAATGAAGTCTCTCCAGTGATAACTTTTATCACTGGCCAAGCCTTGAGAGCCTCCTAAGACCCAAATAATCTAACCAGAGGCATAAAAGCCTGGATATGTCAGGGGAGTTCCTTCCCCTTTATGGCTGAATAATAGTATATATTATAGTATATATTGTGTATTATCCATTGTATTGTATATTACATATGATATCCACACAGCATACCACGTCTTATTTATCCATTCATCTTTGATGCACACTTAGTTTGTCTCCGTATTTGGCTACTCTGAGTAGTGCTGCAATACACATGGGAGTGTAGACATCACTCTAAGACCCTGATTTCAGTTTCTTCAGATATATACCCAGAAGTGGGATTGATTTTAGTAACCATTTTTACCTGATAATTTCCACCAGAATATCAAGAACCCTATGTGTCAAGTAATAGTCATTAGCTCCCCGAAATGTCTTGGAAAACATTTCCAATTTTTAACATCAAAGGTAATGCCGTTCACATTCCATTGAGGGCCGGGTAGTTATCGTAGGGGTTCCTCACCACGTTGTAGTGTGCAGATTCAACTAAGCCGTAGAACTACTCCCCCTTGAACTGAATCACTTGATAATTTTGGCCAGTAATATAAAACTGGTCATAACCATTTCTCGGCACTTCATAATTTGATATGTTAAATGAATGTGTCGTAATCAAACCTCAAAAGGAAGGTGGAAAAAGAAGTTCTGAGTCTCATGGTAAACTTCATATGATGCAGGGACAATGAACAGAAGAACAAACCTTGTTATCAGAGACTAGGTCTAAGAAGCCTGGATTGGTCTTTATCTGGGAGCTGGGCCCATCTCAGGGGCACATGACCCCTTTCCCCACTGAATGTGTCACCAGCACACAGAGACCACCTCAACTTGAGCCAGCTTTTAAATATATTTGCTAGTCATGTATTTCAAAAATTAAACTTCACCTCCATAGAAAATGTGAAATTTCTAGCATACGGAAGCTAAGAGTTATTGGGAGCATCCTGTACGTTTATTTATTAAGATGTGGGATCTTACTGTTTTATAGGTGATTTTGAACTAATTAAGGCTTAAAGACCTGCATTTTGTAGCAGGGGTCCATAAACCACATATGTTCTGAGTCTGTTTCAGCAAAGAGCCTGGACCCTTGCCCAGCCAGGCTGGTCCAGACTGATGAAGGGGATGACAGTGGCATGTGGCATTTTCAATCTGGGGATGGCAGTGCTGTCACGCTGTAAGCCTCAAAGACCTCAGACAAGAGTTTATTGTCTTCCCCTCATGTGGCCTCCATTTCGAGAGAAAATGAGAGGGCTCACGCAGGTTCTGTCTAGTTTTTCACACGATTGGGTTGATGGCATTCCTTGGGGCTATTTTTTCATTTTGGGAGTGACATTCAAATAATACCATAATAAAAGATGCTATAAACAAAAGAAAATGAAGTCATCTGTCTTCCGGGTGTGTTGGTGTGGAAATGAGGAACACCAGCGTGGGCGGGGAAGGAATGGCCAGAAAGTATTAAGTCAGAGAAGCACTTTCCAGATTCTCTGCTGAAGGCCTATGATGTCACAAACATGAAGAGCTCCTGAGTATTGCTTATAAAATTCTTTAAAACATGGGTTATGAGTCAAGAAAAGCAGTTAGAACAATTAGAATCATGACAAGGTAGGTATTTTAATAGGCTTCCAGAGAGAGCTGGCAGTGCGGGCACACCTGGCTACTTTCTCTTCTACTGGAAACTCTCTAATATTGTATTAGAGGTGTATTCTTTCAAGGCATAAACCAAGAAAGGCAGTTCTTACTGGGTCTGAATCCCTGACTGAAGGGGAGAGGGATGAATTAATGGTGAATTCATAGAATCTATACAACCACCACCAAAACACTGGTGTGCAAGGGACCTGGATAAGACACAGCAGCCCATCAGTTTACCACCCATTTGGTTGTTGATGGTATTTGCCTAGTTAGAAGTGAAAACACTGGATCTTGATCTAACCGAAAGAGCAGCATCACCGTATTCAGATAATAGGAGATGGGAAGTCCTCAACATTGTTCTAGACACATGAGGGGGTGGGGGAGTAAAGGGCCAGACCCTCTTTTTTCCATTAGTGCATAGTTAATAGCTAATGCCTAATCCTGGAAAATTCTAGTTGTTAGATCTGTGGGATACATATGAAAATATTCAACTAAAAGATATGGGGGAGAGGCGCCTGGGTGACTCAGTTGTTTAAGTGTCCAACTTCGGCTCAGATCATGATCTCGCGGTTTGGTTCATGAGTTCAAGCCCTGCGTTGGAGTCTGTGCTGACAGCTCAGAGCCTGGAGCCTGCTTCTGATTCTGTGTCTCCCTCTCTTTCTGCCCTGCCCCTATTCTCTCTCTGCCTCAAAAAATAAATAAGCATTAAAAAAACAATATGGAGAAAGATAGAGTGGTTCTCTTTTTCATAAGAAAGCTTAGAGGGCTATTTAACACTTGTTTTATGCATATGTTTAACATTGATAAAAATGGTTTTTAAAGTATGGCCATAACTGGGTGCATTAAATATTGTGGGTTTTCCTCATTAGCCTTTATTGAAATAGCCTTTATTGTAAAATGAAGGAACATTAAGGTAGTGCTGTGTCCTCAGTCCTCTGTACCCCTCATATGTGGCAGTTTTTATGTTTAGAATTATTGACAAATCAATCTTGAAGGATTTTAATAATTGTAGTTGTGAATTCCACCCCGCCCCCACCAGCACACCCCATGTCCCATTGCCAGACCTTCATATGTAGTCTGTGCTTACAAGGGAGGTGTCTGGTAGTGAGGGAAAGGAGGAGAGACAGAAATGCCATGGGTGTATCAATGGGGAACAGCTGTGAAACTTACACTCTAGAAGTTATTACAGGGGTGCCTGGGTGGCTCAGTCGGTTAAGCATCCGACTTTGGCTCAGGTCATGATCTCACCGTTTGTGAGCTGGAGCTCCTCATTGGGCTCTGTGCTGTCATTGCAGAGCCTGCTTCGGATCCTCTGTCCCTCCCTCTCTCTGCCCCTCCCCCGCTCACACACTCTGTCAATAAATAAATAAACAAATATTTTTTTAACAAAGTTATTACATATTGTGTGTTTTATTTGGATACTCCACTACTCTGATGCTTAGAATCTGTGATCCCAGAGCTTAAAATACTCATTAAATCTCACTGAGCATTACATTGTCCAAAAAAAAGTTTGGGTTTCATCATTTAAACATTAAGCTGTTTTTAAAAAAACAGCTAAGCTTAACATTGGAATAATCAGTAGTTTTGGTTATTTATCTGGTGAAAGAAGGAAGATGATTTTTATGAGATCATTATTCTTATCCACATACGGTTACACTTACTGTCTCATTCTCTGTGTTGACACAGGATAAACTGTGCAGATTCCTTCTTTTGTTTTAAAGTTTATTTTGAGAGAGAGAGAGACAGAGAGAGACAGAATCCTAAGCAGGCTCTGTGCTGTCAGCTCAAAGCCGGGTGTGGGGCTCCATCTCTCCAATCTGAGATTGGATCTTGATCTCTGACCTAAGCCGAGATCAAGAGTGGGACACTTAACCAACTGAGCCATCCAGGCGCCCCTGTGCAGATTCCTTCTGTGCTTGACCTGAACCCTGGACATGCTCTCAGCTGCCCAATTTAACAGAAATGCGTTTGTCACTTTGTCGAGTAGTGGTTGGGTGTCAGGATGTGAAGTTTTAGAGAGTCCTGTCTTTCATTAAAGAGAGGCAGCCCTGGCTTCAGTTTATGCCTTGCAATAAGCACCTGCCCCCCCTTTCTCCACCAGGAGTACCAACCCTGCAATATCAACCCATGCCCCGAGCTGAAGAAGACCACACCCTGGACGCCCTGGACGCCGGTCAACATCTCAGACAACGGGGGCCACTATGAGCAGCGATTCCGCTACACTTGCAAAGCCCGCCTGCCGGACCCCAATCTGCTGGAAGTGGGAAGACAGAGAATCGAGATGCGGTATTGTTCCAGTGACGGCACCAGCGGCTGCTCTACAGACGGTGAGCCGCCACCCCGCCCTCCCCGGACTGATCGACTCCCACAGACGGGCGGGTGAGCCTGTCTCTAAGGTCACAGCTGAGCAAGGGGCTCTTTGCCTTTTGATTATTTTCCCCTCAGCAATCTACACCAGCATCTCACAAATGCACAAATGCCTTTTGTAGCAAACTGATGGGAAAGAGTTCTGTATTGAGGTGGTCCTGTGAATTCAGCCCTCAGAATATCACTGCCTTCGTACCAGGTCCAGAACAGTTTGGGGGAGATTTATTTAATATCAGAAAATATGTGGAGGAAGGCTCAATGGTCTTCCACGAATCCTCTGGTACTAAATGTAAGCGGCAAATAAGCTTTTCCTCTGATTATCCCCAAACTGGATACAGACAAAGAAAGTGCATCTCTGTGCTTCTGTCTAGAGAAGGACCTTTCTGCTATAAAGTTCAGCCTGTGAGGATCCTTTAATAGTCTTTGAAACTGCTCTGCCTTTTTAATCCCTTCAGTACCATATTCATAGCGGAAAGGAAAGCTCCAAGATAGACCAGAAGAGGCACCCTCCACCTGGCCCCCCAGCTGAGGGGGCAACTCTCCTCTGACAACTCACTTGCTGGAGCTCAGCTGTCTCTACTGCAACCTGGCCTTCCCAGAGAGCTTCATTTCTGCTTTCTGATTCATCACTTCTGACCTTCTCATCTCCTTTCACCAAATCTGTCCAATAGGGAAAAGGAAATAGGTGTTCACAGATGGCTCTCAGAGCATGATGGCATGAGAACGGCAATGGTAATATCATGCACCTGGGACATCTCTCAGCACTTTTGTGTGTAGGGTTCCACCTTTTGGGTGTATTGTCCCAACATGAACGTGGCAGAGAAAGCACAATCACTATCAGCGTCACTTTTAGAGAAGGCTCCTTAGACCCAGAGTGGGTGGCCATGATGAACTACAGAGGTGGTCGCCATGTTGGGCTGATGTGGATGGGATAAATTCATGGGGGTGCGATAAACGGCCTCCTGCACTGCCAGAGGGAAGTGGCTCCCAAGAGGCTCCAAGTGAGGGCCACCAGCAGCACACTGGTCACGAATGTCCATGCCTCCTCCAGGGAGCCTCTGAACATCAGGGGCGGAGACCTGGCAGTCACCATCAAGAGCCACACCTGGTTGGTTGTACGTTATGACATTAACTATTTCCTGACCCCAAACCTTCCTGCTCAATGTAGTTCACCAACTATATATAAGTTTGTTCATTATTTCTTGAAAAAAAAAAAGTCTGCTTTAGAGAAAACTTTTGTGCAAATAAGTCAACAATTTACATAAAGCAAATACCCTACATGTAGAAAATCAAGCAAAATCATATTAACTCATATTCTGTGAACCCTGCTGTAAGAAGAAAAGATACATGATGGAATATCAAGAGAGAACTGAGGTCCCATTTGTAAGATCTACATTCCACAAGGGATGAGCCTTGATGTCACATTAGCATTATGACATAAAATACAAAATCCCCAGTTAAAGATGAATTTCAGATATTTTTCAGAATTTTTAAATATAAGTGTGCCCCGTTAATCTTTTTTTGGATAAGTATGACCCATGCAACATTTGGGATATACTTACCCTAAAATATTACTTCTTGTTCATCTGAAATTCAGATTTCACTGGGCTTCCTCTATTTTATTTGCAAAATCTGGCAACCGTGTCCCCAAGTCATTCACTTCTTTCTCATTTTTGAGAAGGCGGTAAATTGTCTTATTTCTTATGACATCTAAGTGAAAAAGAGACAGTGAATGGCAGTGTGTCCCCACAGGAATGTCATTGTCTTTTCTGAACATCTATTTTCTAACCCTTTCATTCTCAGATACATAATAAAACCAGAGCTGATATTTCTTTTCAATGATAATATAAACTAAAAGCAAGTTTGATACACATTTACAAAAGATACCCCATATTTCCTCTAAAAGTATATCCTGGGCAAGGCTTAAAAAGTACTTCACCTGCCTTGTGTCTTCGGGGCTTCCGGTTCTAATGACCATCTACACATTTGGGTATTGACATCTTGAAAATACAATATTGGACTTCTTTGCCTCTGACCGCCCAAAATGAGGCTTGTTTGTGCATAGTTTTTTCTGTATTGATTAACCTCAGAGCGACGGCTTATCACAGAAAGACATTTCTGATCCATTTTCTCAAAAGAGCCTCCTACCTAGGTTTCAGAGCCAGAGTTCTTAACAACAGAAGAGCTTGGCAGCAAGCTGTTAATACTGTTAGTACATTTTCCTTGTCACACCTTTCAGGAACTTCGTGGCGTCCTCAGAGTTTTAGTTAAAACCCGCTTCACATTGCCAGCATCTGAGAGAATTACTGAATATTTTTAATATTGTAAGCGAGCAGCCATTTTCACCAAAGCCAACAGGAGTTTTGAGTGTGCCTAACTGAATGACTTCCCCAGTGCAGAGTGCTCAGAGCAGAGCAGACACGGTACACAGTCAGAGCCCGTTCCTAACACTAGACATTTTCTCACTGCTATACTGCTCTTAGCACCACATTTGTCCCTAGGGAAACACACTTGCTGGTAAGTGTGGGCTGAACCTCGTGGGAGCGTGGCCACTGGGCAAGCTCATTCACGGATGTGTTCAGTTCCCGGTCACGAGCTCCGCCCCTTGCATGGTTCTTGAACAGACCCATGTCTCCGTGGCCTGTGAAGCAATTAACTCCGAATTAACTCTGGAACCTTCACCAGCATTAATTCACTTGGGAAAGGCTCACGGATAAAGGAATGGGTTTAGTAACATGTCTGAATCATGCTTCCATTTCTCCAAATGGATGTCCCCAGTGGTGAGGATCTCCTCGACCCAGACAGCCCAGTTTTGTTGCAGCATTCCCGCAGGAAGTGAGAAAGTGGTGTTTTTTTGGGAAGAAGTTTCTCAGGAAAATAAGTGACCCACGGAACCCAAGGCCTGTTCCTTGTGTAAGGAAGTCACCACGTTTACAAACCTAGTTCTCAGCTGCATCCTCTATAATAGCAGCCGCAGAGGAAGAAATTTGAGTGATTGGTGATTATCATTTGCCTGCAGTTGTTTGGCTTTTGCAGCTTAAAAAGTATTCAGCCGATTTGGAGACTGTAGTTCTAGAAACGAAGCAGGCAGCTGATGCAGAATGAAAGTTAGTTTGCACTGTGCTTCCTCTAAGGACGTCTAATAAAATCACACTTGGGTCATTTCTTTGGCAGGCCTTTCTGGTGATTTCCTGCGTGCCGGGAGATACTCAGCCCACACCGTCAACGGGGCCTGGTCAGCCTGGACGTCGTGGTCCCAGTGCAGCCGCGACTGCAGCAGGGGCATCCGGCACCGGAAGCGGGTTTGCAACAACCCCGAGCCCAAGTATGGGGGCTTGCCTTGCCTGGGTCCTTCCCTGGAATACCAGGAATGCAACATTCTGCCCTGCCCAGGTGAGTGGGTTGAGTCATCTGGAAAACGTCTGAAAGATCGAGGGCCTTTGAAGACCTTCTGGTTTAGGAGGCTTGCTCAGTTTCCCCAGTTTTATGCTTGAGACGATACCTATGTAAAAATCACAGCTTATATTTTCGAACCGCAGTGGTATAAAGACAAATATAACCTAGGCTGGATTATATTCATTTATTTCTGGTTTTTTTAAATGTTTATTTATTTATTTTGAGAGAGAGAAAGAGCGTGGGAGCACGGGGGCAGAGAGAGAGGAAGAGGGAATCCCAAGCAGGCTCTGAGCCGTCCTCGCAGAGCTGACCATGAGACCATGACCGAAGCCCAGACCAAGAGATGCTTAAGTGACTGGGCCACCCAGGCGCCCCTATGTCTCCTTATTTAAATGCAACTAAAACATTCACATGAGCCCCAACAAAGGTCCTGGGCCCTAGGCCTCGTGCCTGATGGAGAAGTCGGCCCTCGTGGCTTAGAGAGATATGTTATGTCTTCGAAACTGGAGGCTGGCCTCCTCCCAAACTGATGCGCCCAGCAGTCCTGGGGCCGCCCACCTCCTCTTCATACCACAGACTCCTCCCCCAGGGCGACGGGTATCAAGAATGACCCACCAGGTGGCAGACAACCAGCCGCTCATGTCCTCGGTCAGCAGCCCTCCACTTTGAGCTGAGTTCAGTTCTCTAAACATACTCTTCCTCCCCAGAGGCCGACAGAAGCTGTGTTGTCTGCGTCCTGAGATCTGGTGTCTCATTCCACCAACTCCCAAACGAAGCAATCACGGGGTTAACAAATGAGCTTAAAGAGCCTCCGTCCTCCCAGACAGGATGCCGTGTGCAGACACGGCTCTGAGCACCGTCTGTCGTAGTCCCTGCTCCAGCCTCTCTGTGTCCCCCCTGCCGCAGCTCAGGATGTGGCTCCAGCACCTGACTTGCTTGCAGCTGATGCTCCCATGGTCAGAGTCTGTTGTCGACGCCACACGGCCACTCGGGCACTGTCTGGGCTGTGTGTGTTGCCTTTGGCTCTATTGAGTGAAGGCTCCAGGACAGCAGGGACTTTTGTGACAGACCTGCTCCCTGCGTTGTCCCCGGCTCCCAGCATAAGTCTAGCACCTGCAAAACAGCTCTCAGTGATCATTCATAGAACGATTAGAAAACAAGCCCATAGTTACTTGGTCTTCTTTCCTTCCCTCCTTCCCTCCCTCCTTCCTTCCTTCCTTCCTTCCTTCCTTCCTTCCTTCCTTCCTTTCTTCCTTCCTTCCTTCCTTCCTTCAACTGTGTCAGCAAACATTTCTGGACAGCCCACCTATCCATGTGCACCATCCACAGGATTCCCTGTGGGCACAGTGATATGGTCCAGGGCAGAAAGGAACCTAGAGTTCAGTGAGGAGGCACCCTGGGAATAATGTCAACCCATTATGGTCACTGGTTATTGGGCGTGTGGCAAGATGTAGTGACGACATCAGCCAAGGACCCATTGAGCTGGAATCATGGCGGCAAACCGATCAGGTGGCCCCTGAACTGGGACCTGAGGGTACAGAGAGGAGGTGGCCAACTAGACAAGCAGAAATGGGGTGGGGGAGGGCCCTTTCCAAACACCAGGTACAGTGCCTTCCAAAGTACAGAAGGCTGCAAGCATAGCATCTTTTTCGGCAGGTACAAATAAGTTTCTAAGTTCCTTAAGCAAGGAACCGGCTCCCAGCAGTGTTCAATGAACACTTGTTGGATGGATGACTGGACGAATAAATGGATGGATAGATGATGAATGGGTGCTGGGTGAATTGGCGTTGGATAGATAGGTGGGTGGATGGATCGATGAATAATGGATAGATGGTGGATGGGTGGATAGGCGGGAGGGTGAATGGGTGATGGGTGGATTGGCAGATGAACAGATAGGTGAAGGGCTGATAGATGGATGGGTGGTGGATGAATTGGTAGATGGATAGATAGTTGAATGGCTGGTTGAATAAATGTACATTAAACTGAAAATACATAGTTCTCAGCATTATAGCTGAGAATCCCAATAATGCCCTTGTTCCTATGGCTGTTCCACTGCTCTTGGGCTGTCTCTGCTTGTATTTCTCCAGCGTCCAGAGACTTTTCCCTTCAGCCACTCAGCTCTCCCAACTAAGTGATGCTGAGGGGGTGGGAAAGGTCACGGAGCCAGTTCTTTCCCACGGCCCCAGCACAGAGAGTAGGATTCCTTCTCAGAGCTGGGAGAGTGTTCGTTGGTGACATCATTAGATCAGGATCCGTGTTATAAACTGAACAGGGAGGGCGACAAGGGAATGCCAGGATGCCTCCGTCCACCCACGCCTCCCCAGGATCCAGACACGAGCACTCATCACTGTCAACAAGCTTGCAAATGTTTGGATGCCACTTTGGTCCTTGAGTGTAAGGTTCAGACTCGTCTCAGAGACATCCCTTAACATGACTTGGGGGCTGTTTTTATTTTAGTCAATTTGATGGTCAAGCCAGTATCTTGTATACATAACCTTAATGTCTTGAAATAGCTCCATCCTCATTTTCTTTCTGAAAGCCAAAATTCCAGAGGGTTGTGGAATTATTCAGAGGGGCTTCTGTGACTTTCCACTTGGGAATGAGGAAGTTCAGGGGGGACTGAGTTGGGCAAATGTCCATCCTCTCTCCCACCTTCTAGAAAATTCCTAAACACACGATAGGATGGAACTTGGCAAGGAGGGGTTGGAAGCACTCAGAAATGTTGGTGCCAAGCTGCACATCCAGCTATTTTTACCTCATTTAGGACACTCTCCTCCCTGTGAATTTACTCCTCCTTAGTTCTATTGGGTCCATAAAGAACAGCTACAAATGAGCACTATATCTTATTTAAAAATAAGTTTTCTCATTATGATTAAATTTGAAAATCAAAGGCTAGATGAATGGAAAATCCTTTACATCAGTTAGTGAAAATTTTGATCTCCCAATTCCAGTTTATATAATAAACTGCAATAAGGTTATAGAGTCGAGATCATGTTGCAATGATCCTTTCTCCCCTTGTGTGGGTTGATCTGGTAGTAACTTCACCTACGTAATTTTCCTCCAACACTGAGAAATATCTTGGTCTTTCTTCACTCCTTTTGTCAACCCATGTTTATTTCAGAGCTAAGGATTCGTGGAGTCAACAGGTAGTTCTTTGTTACTAAGCGCTATTCATATTCAAATAAGATTTGATGTATATTTATGAAAACCATAAGGATGAGGGAGGAGGGACACTGAGTGAGAATCTAATGGAAGGGCAGACTCTGTATCAAAATGATGAGTTGGGGCGGATGTGTGTTTTATAGATAATGTGTTAGACACCATGATGAGCTGAGAACACTGTGCCTTTCTCTTCATGAAGTCCTTGAACCTACGCTTTGTTCTGTAAAGCGCAGATGACACAAAAGGATCATGAGACATAACTTCTGTCCAGAAGGAGCCCTGAGGATTGGAGTAAGGGCAGCTAGTGCAAGAAACTTCTGCCCAGGGGTCCCTGGAGGAGCCCAGAGCACAGCAGTCCTACTGTGAAGACCTGTGTGGCTCCAGTCAGGACACTGAAAAATTAATGTCAAACGCGCCCACGTCCTGGAGAACTATAAATATAGGGCTTTATGTCTCCGACAGCCCACAGGATGCCTGACACTCAGACGTTAATCATTTCATTTTGCTCTGCTCTTTAGATCACTAGTAATTGTACTTCCTGTGACCACCATTCTTACGTAGTGGGTGGAAGATTCAGCTAGAACACGAATTGTCATCCTCTTCTATGAAGTTTACATAATCTTTACATCTCATTTGCTTAAAATTAGTTCCCTATAATTAATTGCTTTGCTCCTTGCAAAAAATGTGGCATCTGAGCTTTCATATATTTGTCTGATCTGCCAATGAGCTGGCCTTTCTTGGCCAGGAGGAGATTCCCACAGGAGTTTTAGCAACAGGACAGGAGTTACAGGAAACCCTACTTTGTGCCCGGTCCTGGGCTCAGCCCACCAGGCCCACTCCCCACGCATTCCCTCTGTCCCCTAACCCCTCTGCACTTCAGTCCTACATTTCTAGAATACCCCCCATGCTGGTGGTGAGGACAAGGGGCAATAGTGAGCGAGTTATTATTTCCACTAGTATAGTTGTTTTGTTAGGCCAGCCAAGTTTGTATAGCAGAAAAGGAAGATGTCATGCGCTCAGCCGGGCCCAGTTTCCCCGGCGCGCATGCCTAGCAGGGTGGCTATGTTTCTGCGATTTTCTTGGCTTCCAAGTTCCTGTTTCCGAACCAGGTTCTGCATGATCCCTGGCAGCGAAGGCTACGTCGTGGAGTTCTTTAATACTCTGTAATTTCTATTTTGGAAATATGTGAGCCTTCCTAATATGAAATGGCATTTCAATACTCAGTATCATTTTTCATCCAGTACAAAGCACCATCCCCCTTAACCCGAGTCACTGCTCCCAGCAGAAGGTTGAGATCTGTAATGTCAGCACGAGGCTGAGATGGTGGGAAGCCAGGGGCAGGGTCGAATTGGTCTGGGGGCATTGGACAGTGACAGACCAGGGCAACTACCTGATGGAATGAAGTGGCTGGGATTTTCCTTTGATTTCCCTTTGTACAGGAAGCATCTATTTGCCCAACTCTTAACTATCCCTCAAGGCAATGCAGTTGTAATGGCAAGTGGTAGAGGTTCGATGTGATCTTGTGGCTTAAACTGACAAGTGGGAATGCTCTAGCAACTGGGTTCTGTTACAAATGTTCCCCCAAACTGTTCACATTTCGAGCAAGAACGACATTCTCTCTATCAAACAGCAAACAGTCCCGTACCAGGGGAGATTTTCACGATACCCAGAGGACAGTTGGTGTGTATGGGGTGCACAGCATTTATTAGATGAGATCTGATGATATTTAGCATATTGGTTGACATGTTATAGGAGCGAATACTATTTGAAATAACACAATGTAGGTTGTACTTAGGAGCTCATCGACTCCCTGGTATGTGTAACCGTTAGATCCTGCATGATTATAAAATGATTGTGATTGAAAGCACTTAATCTTTGGTTTGTTTTTAAAATGTTTAACCTCTTAGTTTTTTTATTGTGGTAAGAATATTTCACACGAGAGCCACCCACATGAGATAACAAAGGCGTAACAAGTCTTTATTAAATGACTGTACTGTTAATGGAGTGCTGGTCAGACCGCACAAGGCAGTCCTGCTAACTATGGACTCAGCGCGCCACAGCAACGCATTGTTGCCTCGTGGAATAGCCACAAGCCACAAGAATTGTGAATAATGTTCAGTGGACAGGGGAATGCAGGTATCTTTTAGATATCTTGGTGTCAATCCTTTCGGGTAGCTCTGCCCAGAAGCGGGACACACAGTAGCTTGGTTTTCATTTTTTGAGGAACCACCATGGTGCTTTCCCCTGTGGCTGCACCAGTTTGCGTTTGCACCAACAGGGTGCAAGGGTTCTAATTTCTCTATGTCCTCACGCACATCATTATCTACTTGTCATCCTTTTTATCAACTCCATCCTGGCAGGGGTGAGGTGAGGTCTTACTGTGGTTTTGAATTGCATTTCCCTGATAATTAGTGATCTGGAACATTGTTTCATATACCTGTTGCCCATTGGCCAGCAGGTCTATCATGAGAAACATGGGGCGCCTGGGTGGCTCAGTCTGTTAAGTGTTCAGCTGCAGCTCAGGTCATGATCTCATGGTTCGTGGGTTCAAGCCCTGTGTCGTGCTCTGTGCAGACAGCTCAGAGCCTGGAGCCTGCTTCAGCTTCTGTGTCTCCCTCTCTCTCTCTCTGCCACTCATCCCCTCATGCTCTGTCTCTCAAAAATAAACTAAAAAAAATTTTTTTAATGAAATTCCTCTTATGTTTCTCAAAAAAAAATTTTACCTATGCCTGTATCTAAAGAAAAATATTACTCCATAAAGACATATTAAATCATGGTGGGTGTATTAAAACACAAACAATGTGATTGTAGCCAAAACAACCATGGGTCCTGAATGATGCTGGCGTTGCTTTTCATGGTAGCTTCTGTTTGTTTGCTTGGTTTTTTGTTTTGTTTTTTCTTCTTTAGGATACAGAGAACGTGACCTATGAAACCCTCTACATGTGGTCATAGTGAATCTGTCATCAGCTTTTTAGTTAGCTGTGGTTATGGTTGTTTCTGCCCACTGGTGACAGTCATGGCCTTAGCCGGTTCACAAAGTCTCACAGCTTTACTGTGCGACTCAGAAAAAACTGGGGCTGCCTGGCAGGAGGGAGATCCTTCAGGAATTAGGAAACAGCGGGTCAGATAGGACAGTGTCACAGACCGAAGCCAGGTGAGGTGTGTTAGCCACAGCAGCCAACGCAAGGCGAGAGCCCTGAGGTCCCCAAGGAGGCGGGCCGCTGCCTCCTCCGTTCCGGAGGCCCGGGCCCAGGCATCAGGAGCCCAGCCTGGGGAGGACAAGTCATGCTCTGAGCTACCTGCAGACATGGGGCCAGTTGTGGCTCGTGGTCATGCTGGAAAACTCACCTGCGTTATCATCTGAAGTCTGGCTGCAGATCCTAGGATTCCTGTCTTTAGTCTCCTGTCCCAAGTCCACATGGTTTATGCTTAGTTCGGTTGCTGGGTGCCCCCATCTAGAAGCATCCTTCACAGTTCCTGCCAGGACCCGTTAGCTTTTCTCTATCCCGCTGTCACGAGCACGTCATAACGCAGTTAGTAAGGAAGCCTGTGTCTGCGGCTGCTGATCCTCGGCTGTCGGTCGACTCTGTGGTTAGCAAACGTGAGCGCTCACTGGCCTCCCCGGTCATGACCACAGAAGGTGGTTCATGGTCCTTCCCAGAACAGGGACTTGGTATTACATACATAGCACTGCCCAGCTGTCTACATGCTTGCATATTATATGCTTGGAAATACTGCCCGAAAGAGCAGGTAAGAGGAACTGAGAAAGCAGAGGGAGAAATACGCAAAAGTGGTTTCTTTGCCAGGAGGAAGAGGCCGGGCAGCCCTGGGAGCGGTCGGGGGTGCGCAGATGCCTTCCCGCGGTGCACGCCCCATCTGCAGCCGCGTCAGGCTGGTCAGGCGAGGAGTTCAGCAGTGATAGGCCTTTGTGTCCCTTCCCAGTGGATGGCGTGTGGTCTTGCTGGTCCCCCTGGTCAAAGTGCTCGGCGACCTGTGGCGGTGGACACTACATGAGGACCCGCTCGTGCACAAACCCAGCGCCGGCCTACGGAGGAGACATCTGCCTGGGGCTACATACGGAGGAGGCTCTCTGCAACACGCAGCCCTGCCCCGGTGAGCGGCCTGGAAGGTTCCACGACTCTGGGCAGACTCGCCTCTTGCCTCGATTGATTTAGAAACGGTGAAATTGACGGTAGCTCATGACGGCAAATACTGAAAGAGGGACACCTCAGTCCCTTGCTATTCTCCTTGAAGGGACACACACCACACTGTCCTGCATTCAGATAGCTGCCACCGTGTCATAGTGTCACAGCTCGTAACAGAAGCTGGTTATCACCATGTATCATTAAAAGATTTTAACCTGGTAGTGGGACCTGAAAATCAGAGTGGGGAGCAAGGAGAGCCCTTGTGAAGGACTCGGCCTCAGGTGTGGGGGACGGGGCAGGCAGGCTCCAAGGCTGGCCAGCACAGGTGCCCACTGGATGCGCTGCAAAAGCCTCCACAACCAACAGGCCCATTAGGAATGAATGAGACGCTCTCCTCTGAGTCTAACTTTGACATTGAAATGCTCATCCTTTTTGTTGTTAACTTGCTCCTGCAGGTCTTTCTGGAAGGTTCCATTTATACAGAAAAGTGCCTAGAAACCAGAGTCTCAGTCATCCCCAAATCTGGCGCTTGATACATTTTTGAGGAAAAATGTCATCTCTTTACAGTGAACCAAAGCACATGTTTGATTTCCAAACCTCCCCTATAATCCAAAGATGATACTGAAATCTAAAAAGAAGAAAAAAGCAAACTGCATAGAAACATATCTTTTTATTGTGTTTAATTTTTTTCAAATAATACTGAGAGTTCTTTTTTTTTATTATTATTTTTTACCCCCCTTACTTAAAATATAAGTGTCGCTCCTCTCTTTTCACACATCCGTAAGCCTGGGCAAATTTAACAGATCCGAGCAAATTTTCCACTTTGAGGTGAAGTGATCTTTCATCACTCAGCTTTGGGCCTTAACTCAAGACGCGTGCTCCGACCTTCTGCATGCAGGCAACAGTAAACACAGGCATTCGCACATTGTCATTTCTCTTGCTCTAGCTCTGAGCCCTGTAGGAATTTTGCAGGAAAGCCTTTGAGGGCTGGTCTTCATTGGGGAGCAGTGCCAGGGGGGAAATGGTGTCTGTACTGGTGATTTCTCCCCCCTAATCACTGACCATGTCTGCACAGCTGGACCTCACGAATTAGCTTACTGAGCGTCTAATACAATGACTTTAAAGCAGCAAAATAACATGGGTTCTAGAAAATGTGTTTTAAGCACATTTGATTTTTGATCAAGATATATCAGCCCTTTTATCCATGCCCATGTGTGATATACTTCCTGGAGTGGTCAGAGGCTAGTTGTCCATCTTATTTACACACAGACCCGTTAAAAATGTAATATGAAAATTGAAAGTAACGTATGTGAGCTCCAGGACTTCCAGGTTGATCGATCTCCGTGGGCACTGTTGTCCCATCCCCTTCCGGTCATTGCAGAGAGCTGGTCGGAGTGGTCAGACTGGTCTGAGTGTGACGTGTCTGGAGTCCAGGTCCGTGCCCGCCAGTGCATCCTTCTGTTCCCTGTGGGCAGCCAGTGTTCTGGAAACACCACGGAGAGCCGGCCGTGTGTCTTTGATTCCAATTTCATCCCAGGTGAGAGCAGAGATACTTATCAATGTGAACAACATCATTCCCATCATGTAGAGAGGAAATGAGTCATGAGTGGGAGTGTTATCTGTCCTCAGAAGTCATGTTTGGTGAAACAGAGCCGATCCTGTCAACCCTTGTGGTTTCAAAATAATTAGACAATAGATTTACAGATAAGTGGGGGTTGAATTTAGGCCATGATTTTTAAGATTTTTTTTTTGAGCACACGTCTTTTACAATTTACTGACTATAAAACAGGGAGGAGATTTTGCTCAAAAAATTTAAGATAAATTATTCTGTTATTTTACCATTAGCTTAAATGCTTATGTCATGCTGTGTGCATGTGTTTGTACAGAGAAAAGGGGCCAATTCTTTTGCAACCTTAATACATTTGGGAAAATGGAAATCTACCATGGTGCTCATCTTGGAGACGAGACTGGCTGGCCCTGAGGCAACAGGCTTTTCCATGTGAAATCGATGTTTAGTTATCAATGGTAGCAAATCATCTGTCACATGTTCCCTGTAGGCACAGTCTGAGATACTTATAAATCATTTTGTGCATGTCCCCAGGGGGGCCTTAGGACTGATGTAGACCAAAGCAGAGAGCAACCTCTTACAAGGTAATAATAGGTAATGACCTTGTTTTCTTCCACTTATGGAAAAGGTGATCATATTTTACAGAAAATTAGTAGCGTTCATCTTATAAGGCACCTCCATCATGTATGGTATAGAACTGCAGTGTTTCTTGTGTCATTTTCCTTCTTAACCATAGACATATTGCTAATTTTTGTAACCCAGTGAATATTCAGGAAAGAATCACATTTCCGGTCTTCTAAAATGCTGTTTGGTCCTTGTGGCTTAAAACATCCTTGGGATCTGTTCCCTCATTGGCATTTTATTTGTGTATTTATGTCTGCCATGGCAAAGAGCATGAGTGAGCTCTGAATGGGGACTTTACTTGTTATGGCAGTTTTCTCCGAGCTCCACTGGATTGGTCCCCCTCTGCAGGGATTTGACAACACTGGCTGTGATGCAGCCAGAGTTCGGAGGGAAACACCAAGGCAGACGCTGTGGGGCTCACAGCTGGCAAAATATACGGTAATGGAAAATCATCACATACTTGCCTTTATTTTGAAGTTAGTGCCTTAGTTTCAACCCAAAGGACTATAGCCTTTTCTTTCTATGATAATGAATCTCACTCCTTCCTGACCTACATGACCTTGACCAAATGCATCTCAGGTTGGTTAAAACAAAGAAACACATGTAATTTGTTTTTTAACAGTTAATCAACACTTTTGGAAATTGGACTCACAGGAAACTCGAAATGTAGACATTTTGTAAATGAATCATTAATGTTTTCTTCCTTCCCAACACACTTTACCCATCATGATTTAATTTTTTTTCCAGAAGTATCTGTGGCAAGATCCAGTAGTGTAGAAGAGAAGAGGTGTGGGGGTAAGTTCCTCTTTTTAACTAATGTTTTTAAACTTTTTTTAAAACTAGTTTTTAATTGATTTCTGTTATTTTCCAATCATTTCTCTTCCCATATGTTTCTCATGATGTTTGGGCGAAGAAAAACAGACTGGAGAAACGCTTGATCCAAACACCTTCCACTCTGGTAGCATAACTACAAATGGTCAATATTTGACATCTGGATCAGTGGTTCTCAGGGGCAGTACCTTGACCAGGACCATCAGCATCACCGCGGAACATGACAGGCATGCATGGTCTCAGGTCCCACCTCAGTCTGTAGAATCAGAACTTCTCTGAGGGGGGCCCAGTGCTCTATGGTTTAATAAACTTTTCTGGGGGGGAGGGTTGGTGGATGCTAAGAAGCTTTATGAACAAGTGATCTTGATATCAGCTATACCTAACTTTTTCATGACTAAAACCCAACTCTAGCATTTTGTTGATGTTAACAGTGCAGATACATGGTGGCCAGCCTCAAACCTCCAGAGTGCTGGAGTGACAAAATTATAAGGGGGTATAGGTTATAGCGACACCTCTAGAGGTATTTTTTAAACTTTCTGCAAACCTGAATGACAAAAATCACATTCTCTGGTTCCAGTTCATGATAAATTTAGACTTTACTCTCTATGTTTAACTTATCTGAGCAGGACAGGGTGACTGTCCATTGATCAAAGCCCACCCTCTGTCCACCTTTGCTAAACCGACCCAATATCCACACCAAGATGGCATATTCATACCTGTGGCTGGTGACCTATAAAAACCAATTCTGACCATAATCCTTTCCACAGCAGGGGGGGGGGTGGGGGCGGACGGCTCAGCCGCAGGCTTTGGTCTTCGTGTTTAGATGGAATCTAGAGCTTCGTGTGTATGTTTTAGGAATGTACTTACTGTTAATTAAGAGTCCACTATCTGTTGCATTCTGTCTGTTTTGGTTAGCCGTCGATATGTTCATGCAATCATCTTCACAGACCACCCACTCTGAGTTTTGTGAGGGACATGGAATTTATCATGGGGACACAAAGAGCCCCAGCCCTTCTGGAACCAAGAGTCATATCATAAAAGACGCCAGTGCCTGTGAAATGCACGTCTGGTGTCTGACCTATGTTAGTTCAGTGAGTTCACAGATTGGCAGTCACTAACTTGGGACCCAGCTGGAGGATACATATATACCAGCTCCCATAAAAATAATCATAGCTGTAAATATCCTTTAATATTTTTAGATCAGTCACTATATGCCACTGAATTAAATGGCAAGAAGTGTCCCCTTTGATCCTCACAAAGTGTTTTCATGGAGGTACCACAGCCCACAGTTCCTTTTAACGTAGAACCTTGCAGATAGAGAAGGGTTTGGAGTCCAGCATTCATCAGGTTTCAGATGGGTACGGGGCATGCAGTGTCCATCACATAACGCACTGTAGTGCCGAGGGCTGTGTTCTGTGAATTAACGATGCTGTTGTGAGATGTGCACAAAGTGAAGGTGCAAACGTTCCCCCCTCCAGTTCTCGTTCATTCTGCAGCCTGACAGGGTCGGGTCAGGTCAGGTCTTGCTTTGCTGCCAGGAGAGGGAGGAAAACTCAGTTTCTAGAGACTTTGGTTTTGTAAATCCTAGGAAAGGGGTAGCAGCCAGGTACTGTCATCTGCATTAGGGTCAGTAGGAGTCGGAGAGAGGAGGCCACGGGTGAAGTTCACCAGGCAGTCCACAGCGGAGCCAGAGTCTGAACCCAGGCAGTGTGATCTGAGTGTGAGCGTTAAGCCTGGACGGCCACAGGAAGAGGGTCCTGGCAGTGAGTGTCTGGGAGGACTGTGTCCGGGGGGCTGGAGCCACAGCCGCCCTCGTCAGCGATACTCTTGGGCACTCTGGGCCCGGCCAGGGACACCTGCTGTCCTTGGAGGCAGCGTAGGCCAAGAGTGAAGCAGAGGTTTGAAGGAGTATTCTCGTCCTCTGGGAGGCCAAGACAGAACCTGGGGTCAGCTGGCAGATGTCTCTGCAGAGTTGACCGGCCCTCTGTGCCTACTGAAGGTTTAACAACCATTTTCCGTGGCCACCCCTGGGTTAGGGAGATCTTCAGGGGCATTGAGCACCTCGGAGAACGTGGCTCAAAGCCCACTCCCAATCCTAAAATGCTGCTTCTGTGTGTCCAAGTCAGCTGGGCTAACTGGCTGCCCAACCCAGAATCCAATCTTGAAATGCTGTTGATTAGATCACAGAGGCCTTATCATATTCAGAACTGAGTTTTTAGATCTTCAGGCTATTGACATTGACACACCAGGCTAGGCAAGTCAGAGATCCTATGGACCTGACCATAGGGCTGAGAGGTAAAAGGAATGACCTAGCAGACTGTTTGGGGATGTTTAGGAAGACAACGCCGATGTCTTTTTTTCCCATTTGAAGAAAAATCCATCAAATTTTGTACAGAAAATCAGCCAGTTGAGCCAACTGGGTAGTTGGTTTATATTCCAACATTACTGACCAGAAACAACAGAAGAAGCATATTCAAAGAAAGGGCCACACTAAGAAAATTCAAAAGAGATTCAATAGGCACTATTTTTCCCAGTGCAGAAAAATGTAGGCCTGTTGAAACTTTTTCGATTTAGCTATTTTTACTTGCATGAGACACACAGACTGTCTAATCCTCATAATGATGTCAGCTGGCCCAGCCTTCCCTGGGCGCCAGCAGGTCCGGGTCACGTAACTGATTATGGAGCACCTGCATACGGAGGGCACCATGTGTTATAATGAAGGGCTGGTCGTGCAGCGAAGTACTCTTATCTGTAGATGACCTTGACCCTGGGGAGTCCAGTGGCTAAGGTATAAAACAGTGACACCACGTGTGAAATCCGCTCTTGCTTACCTTGAGCTCAGCCTCGACGTTATGTTAGATGCTTCTGGTGGTTGTGGCGGGAAGCCCCCTCCATGCTCTGTCCAGCCGTCCCAGGTAGGGGGTGGCCTGCTCTAGAGGCTGCAGACAAAATCAAGAGAGGCCAGAGACTTATGACTTGCTTCCATTTTGTTAAGCCACTGATTAAAGAATAAAGAAGTAAAAAACAGGTGGATGTTGGGGAATAGGTATTACCTGTAGAACATTCTAGTAACACCCACCTGGATTCTCCAGGCCCCTGGTGCTGCAGACACTGACACCAGCATTAGAAATCAGGTAGGAGAGAGTGGGTTGTGGCGCCCAGAGAACCCAGGCTCTGTGCTCACTTGGGCAAGCAGCTCCCCTCTCAGGGGTCCCCAGAGCGCGGCATCTGGGAGCAGAGCAGCAAAGGGCACAGCCTAGAGGGAAATGTCAATATGTGGGCACAGCGAGGGTATGTGGACCCAGCTGAGGTGAATGTGACTCTGAAAGTCCTCAGGGAGGAGCCAAAGTAGTTGAGGGGCACACACCCCAGGGCCTGGGGACAAAATTGCAGGCCTTCTCTCCCTGAGAGCCTGGTGGCCTCTCTCTGTGACCCTGAGACTCACCTGGTGTCTGCTGTGTGCCTCGCAGGCATTGGAATGGTCCTATTTGAGGGCAGGATGGACAGATCTGGGAAGAGCATGGGTGACCCTGCGCCCCCTGGTGGTGGGTGGAGGGGACACCGTGGCTGAAAGCCAGTCCTCGGGATGTGCCCTCTGCAGGTGACAGAGGCCAGGAACCCGCAGGCAAGAAGTTGGCCACAGAGCACAAACACAGCATAGAGAAAATAAGGTCATGTTGTCCTTCACCCGATTTTCACTAAGTCCAGCCTCACGAGCATTACTCAGATGCCTTTATGCCCTGAATGTCTTGAAACCCTCATTGCACAGCATTTTACCAACACATGATGAACATCTATGTTTTCTTTTGGTTGTTTCTCAGACATTATAAAGGTGTTAATTATGTTACCTTTATGTCCCTCGAGCCAGTCGCCTATTAGAGACAGAAATCCACATCCACTCATTTTTTTCTACATCTTGTTTTCATAACTCAAAGAAAATAACCCAAAGATGCTACTTTAACACAAAAAAATATGTAAAGGAGGGTCATTTCATGACCATCAGAAGATCATTTTATTCCTTTGACACAAATCCTTTATTTCTTTGGTGTAAACCATTTTCTTTATAAGGTCTCCAATATATAGTCATTTTGAGCAGTAATTGGAAGCAGGAAGTGCATTCTCGCTCTGTTTGTGGGACACAGTCAGACCATAGGCAGGAGTCCTCTGCCTGTTAAGGAGCATCGAGGGGCACTTGGGTGGCTTAGTCGGTTAAGCATCCGACTTCAGCTCAGGTTATGACCTCACGGTTAGTGGGTTCGAGCCCCATGTCAGGCTCTGTGCTGACTGCCAGCTCAGAGCCTGGAGCCTGTCTTTGGATTCTGTGTCTCCCTCTCTCTCTGACCCTCCCCTTCTCTCTCTCTTTCTCAAAAATAAATAAAACATTTTTTAAAAAAGGAGCATGGAAAACATGTTGTCGAGAAACCCCATAGACCAGAGATCATGCCACACTTGAAACAGACAAGCAGACTTGTGCAAGCCTTTAAAGAAAAAAAAAATGCTTCTGCTAGTGTAGCAAGGGGAGGTCCAAAAACCCAATTGTGATCCATAAGAGCACTAACTTAAAATAAGCTGAACCTCCTGTGGGGAAATGTCTTGGTGGCCACGACATTTCAGAGGAAGGTCCTGTGATTTCTTTAAGTTTGGAATTGGTCAGGGACCTTTCCTTTTGCTTTTCTGCCTTCATCCGAGTGCGCTGAGCTGTTGAGTGGCGTGTTCTTTTCCAAAGTAGCATCACTTCTGATGCTGTCTTCCCAGAGTTCAACGTGTTCCACATGATCGCCGTGGGGCTGAGCAGCTCCATCCTGGGCTGCCTCCTGACACTACTCGTCTACACCTACTGCCAGCGGTACCAGCAGCAGTCCCACGATGCCACTGTCATCCATCCCGTCGCTCCCGCCCCTCTCAACACCAGCATAACCAACCATATTAACAAACTGGACAAATATGACTCCGTGGAGGCCATCAAGGTAAGGGATCAGCACGTAGACGTGCAAAGAAGGGTCCGGGGGGCTGTTGGCTGGGCTCAGGGCTGTTGGCTTCAGTGAAAGAGTGGAGGGTCAGGTAACAGGGGGCCCTTAGGATGGCTGCCTTTTTAGCTTTCCTTTGTCTGCAAAACAAGATGGCGTCCTATATCGGGAGTTGTGTTAGAAATAGGACACAGAAACAGCGACGGATAAAATGCTGGGAAATATTGAGTCATTGGCCAACATCCAGTTCTGCCTCCACTGTGCCTTCTGTGTTCAAAGACAGGTCTTGTCAAAGAGAACTCCAGGCCAAGGACCTGTACATGCCAGGCGGTGGTAATGAGGACCAGGGCTGGGTAATCCAATATACAGGCCATTGCTGGAATTACCAAGATGGTATCCTGAGAGAAACTGTCTCATTAGTATAAAAACTATCTTCAAATAACGTGTGTGCACAATGAAGTCTCTTCAGCTTTGCACTCTATAAAAGTGCTGTGGGGACTGGTGTGGGGCTAAGTGTCTTGTTAAATTTCCCCAGTGGGTGATTAATTCAGTGTTCCACCCAGAAATAGAGGCCGGTTCTGGGGAAGAAGGAGTGGAAATGGTATCCGCTCTGGACCAGAAAGACCTGAGTTCATAAGTCACCAACTGGGTAAACTTAATGCTAGTCATTCACAATCACTGAGGCTCCATTTTCTCCTATGTCTTGAATGGTGCCTGACAAAATAAGTGTGGTTTTTATTTGAGGCGTTGTGCATCAGGTTTTGGAATACAAGTTAGTTACTTCTTTGAACCTCGGTTTCTTTGTCTTTAAGATGGGTATAGCAGTACTCACTGTCATATCTTTCTTGTAAGGTTTAAATGAGATAACATACAGGAGGTCGGGGGTGTAACTGGAAGGACATAGATGTTGTCTACTTCACCCCATGTGCCCCACCACCCATGTGAATGAAGGAAATACTCATTTTTATATTCCTGTTAAGTTGGTGGTTCCCCTTACCATTCTTAGGGAGCACATGGTTACCTTCTCTCTGCAATGATGATTTCCTCTGAAATTTGATCTCCTCCCCATGTGGGAACGTGGGAATCTTCAGCGCTTACAAGTTGTTTGTAAGGTCTTGCGTCCTGGGACCCACCATGTCCTCTCTTATTTCCCTCCCACCACGAGGCTCCCTTCTCCAGCACTTGGCCAGAGACAGAGCCAGTTGACTTTTACCCATGGGCCTTGCTTACCACCAGGATCCAGAACCCTTCAGCACCTTGTACTAATCCCGTGCTAGGGCTGGGAATGAAGCACCAGGCACTAATAACACACCCCTCACACCATCTCAGAACAGAGGTCCCAGAGTGTGAGGAGGAACACAAGCTCCTTTTATGAGCAAGAGCCTTCCAAACAAGCCTTCAGAACCCAAGAATGGGGCTCCTCTAAATGTGATTCCAAACTATCAGCTTGTCTGTTACTTCAAGTGTCTCAAGATAAGTTAGCTGGTCTTCCATTCTCACTTAAGATCCAGTAGCCACTCAAGAAAATAAGAAATTTCACTGCTCTGAGGGCAGGAGATCAGCTCTAATGATCCTTCTAGAACTTTCTTCTGATACCTTTCCCAGACCAGTCCTGGACAGTTGGCCTCTGCCGACCATCCTACATCTTTATTTCAGTTCTTTCAATATTTGCCCTCCACCTGGCATAGTTTGGCATTTTGGAAGTAGAGGTGCCTTTAATGACTCAATAAGGAAGGGCTTCTGTGTCAGAGTGGCTACAGTAGCCTGTGTTGGGGGACACATAGCCAGTGTGTTAAATTAAGCATATGTGTGCTGTGACCTGTGGAATGAGGAGGCACAGGCCACCCCACCCCCATGGGACCGGCAGGCAGCTCCCTTGGCATCCGAGCTCCCGCTTTGGGGAAGTAGACACCCCAGGCTTGTTTTGACTGAAGGCAAAGTTTCAATACACTCATCCAAAGGAAGTCAAGTTCCAAGGTTTATTACTTACACATCCCAGGAGCCCAGAGAAGGGCAATCCTCCATCCCCAGTCAGCAGTGAGCAGGAAGGAGACAGAGAGAGGATAGCAGGCACCTGTTACTTACAAGGTGGTTGGGACAGATGTCACTAACTTTTTGCAGGCTCAGCTCTAAGTGGTTATTTGAACAGATGCCCTGGGAAGAGCAAAGCAGGAACTTATGGCTGGAACCCTAAACTCAGGTTCTTGCATGACCATGTGGACCCTGGTTCCAATCAAGGTCGTCATGTAGGCAAATGCCCGGGGGCCAACTCAGAATGGCTGTTTTCTCATCTCATGCTCACTAGTGTAGAAAATGGCAAGCCACGAAATCATTTGAAATTTCATGCATTTACTTAAATAACCTCCTTTGAAATCTCTTATCCGTGTACGTATCCATGATCATCAGAATGCTGCTTAAACAGTGACGTAACATTCAAAGCGTGGATTTGAAGTCCTTAGAGCTGTAGGTTTATTGAAGGTTTAGAATACTCAAAATCTATTTACCATAACTGCGAACCTCATTCTAGTTATGAGGCATGTCTTCAGGAAGGCAAATCACGTGAGGAAGCAAGTAAGTGAGAAAACACATTTTAAAATAAAGGAGGCTTAGAAGGGAGTTCAAATTTAACATAAACGTGCCCTCATTAGTAATATTCTCTTTCTGAAATACTGCTCATGGAGTATTCTTCAATCTTTCTCTCAATTATTTTCCTTTTTACAGGCATTTAACAAAAACAACTTGATCCTAGAGGAAAGAAACAAATACTTCAACCCGCATCTCACTGGGAAGACCTATTCTAATGCCTACTTTACAGATCTCAACAATTACGACGAGTACTAATAGCTGTTATATTTTTGGCTTCTTGTAATTCCCCAGTTCCTCAAGGCCCGTGCTCCATGACTGCCCATGTTTCCAAGGCTTCACAGTTGAAGTTTGGATACATTTCAAGTGCATTTCAAGCCACGAGTTTCCCATTGCTGCCAAAAACAGACATCCTTAAAAGCAACACAGATCTAAATATGATGTCTTGAAAATCTGGTCTAAATGCTTGATCATTGTTGAATGAGCCATGGTGTGAAGCTTCGTTTTGTTTTGTTTTATTGTGTTCAGTCCATTTTTCCTAACAAGTCACTTGTTTTCTTGAGCTTTTTAATAAATGTACCACCCACATGGGAAGGAGTCTTTAGAAATAGGAATGTCTTCCTGCTCTTAAACATAAATCTTTACGATGTTTTAATTCAAGAAAACAGACACTTCAGCTGAGAGTCCCCGTTCTCCATAAGGGAGTGTCAGGTTTATAAGTATTTGATAAAATGAAGAAGATGAATGTGGCCATAGTTATTTCCCATGGATCTCCCGTCTTCCCAATCTGGATAATTCTGTGGCATCCTTGGAAGCAACTTGTGTGTTTGGACTTGGAATGGTTCCTGCCTAGGGACAAACAGGGAGTCACCCTGGCTTATATCCACCAAAGCGATGTCATGAGGTATGACACACTCTTCCCCTGGTCATGATGGAGTTACTGTGAAACCCCGGTGGAGGTGAGTGTACAGACCAGACGCACAGACTCCAGGAAGGGTCCAGCATTCTGCGTGATGAGCTGCAAGGCCAGCCACAGTCTCCTGGATCTCACAGCACTCCTGGGAGCTCCTGGCCATGCAGCTGGCCTAGAAGCCCACCCGCCCAGAATCCCACCCGTCCAATCCATAGTAGCATCCTGAAGAGACAATCTGTAAAACCATTACTTGCTCAACACTTGGATATACTCCACACCTGCTCTGTCCCTACAAAGAAAACCCTTAAATATTCGTGGCACCAATGAGGGAAAGCATTAAAAATACTGAAATGTAATGGAAACCAACTTTTTTTTTTAATCTTCCATGTTGCGGAAAGGATTGAAAGACCTGACATTTAATGAAAAGCAACTTTCTATTTTCTGTCTCCTGATAAAACGAGCGTATGGCCATCAGCCCCTTCCCAGAGCATTACAGACGTGCAAAGCTGGCTTTCCGCACCCCGGCGCTGTACATAGCGGAGTGCTCCCCAAGCCGCCCTTGGCTGCCTCCAGGTCAGGTGGGGAGGAGACATTCAGTTCTGGTGCCTTTGGCTTCTGTCTCAGTGCTGCCTTCCTCCACCCCCCCTCCCCCTTCTCCCTGCATGGAGGCAACAGTCTTGCAAGATGTATCTTAAGAAAGTGGAGATGTGAGGCTTTTAATGATCCTTCTGGTTCTTTCTGAGCGTTGATCACTGCTAAGCATTTCAGGGTGTTATAATACCATTCATAGAGGTCTCCAGAAATGACAAAAAGCAGGATAAATTACTCTAAACAACTGCTAAATAATACATGGCAGTTGGCTGAATAATCTTCCAAAGTAAGAGCAAGATTGAAAGTGTTCATCTGATGCCTAAGTGGTCAGTAAAACGTGCTCCTTTTGCCAGTTTTGCGAAATGCATAGCATGGGCATCGAAGAACACCGACTTGTGTTTTTATCCTATCCCATGTAAAAGAAATAATTCCAGAAAGCACTGGGGAAAATCCCCTATTTAGTAATGAATATCATTGTACTGAAAATACTGCAATATACCCTGGTCTCTGGAAGCTACCCTACTATCATTCAAATTTAAGTGGCAGTGGTCTCAGAGAGGTCTGGTAGATTGCAACTGAATGGTGTTCTGGGTCTTTCCAGTGGGGCGTTCATGTTGCCTCTTCTGCGTTGCTTGTCTGCCGTGAGACACGCGGAGCCAAAGCCCGTATTCAGTCCGGTGGTTTCCTCCTCGTTCCTGGATTTCGAAATCGCGATATCACTTTCCTTTAAGAAAGCTGCTCTCACGATGAAGCAAGTTATAGTTGTTTTTTGAATCCGTCTCCCAAGTGTTATCTAAGCTTAAAAGGTCGTTTCATTTCCCCAAGGAAAGAGGATACTAATATTTCAAGAAAGCATCTGCGGACCTGGTTGGAAATGCTTTCTCAGTGCCGTCCAGGCTGGACTTCAGTCAGCGTCATGCCGCGACTGGTGACGGCGTCTGCTTTCCACACCGAATTTTACCTTGCTGATGACATACATCCTGGAATTATCACTGCAAAGAAATGCCCTCATTTTTGTTCCCCGACACTCTACTGAAAGACCAATTCTTCTGGCCTCTCTCTTTCTCTCTGTCTCTCTCCTGTCTCTCTCGCAGTCTCCTTGTTTCACAGAATTTCAATTTTAATCAGCTGTGGAGTAACCATTGCTTTTCCAGCATCCGTGTGTCTGTGCCTCCCGTTCACACCTCGTGTGTTGTGTGAGCCCAGGTGGGCTCTCACAGTGGTGTCTACCAGGTGTGCGGGGGACCCTCCCTAAAGGAGCTTCCCTGGAGACTGAGCGTGGGGTTCATTCCCCTCTGTGGGTGTTCTTGTAAGTTTCTGGATGACTGTTTCCTTCTGTCTTTATCTTTTCTTTTCCTGTCTTCTGTTTTCCCTTCTTTCCTTCCTCCCTCCCTCCCTCCCTCCCTTCCTTCTTTCCTTCCTTCGATCCTTCCTTCCAAGCAGCACAGGTAGAGACTAATATTTTTAAGCTGCACCCCCTCTGAACCTAACCTCAAATGACGTTAATCATAGTTTAATCTCTAAGATTATTTCTGGATACAGAAGTTGAAGTTTGGCTGGTTAACCTTAGGACACTGGCTGTAGTCTCACATTTAAATTCCTTGGAAGTGAGTCCAGGGGCAGTGCTGCTCAGGGTCCCTTCTCCAGACGGGATGGGTCACCGGCGTCCTGCAGGAAGGACAGCACAGCAGGGACCTTCCCTGGGGACTGAGCGCCCCACCCCCTTCCCCTGAGCCACAGGCTTGGGGCCTGGGAAGAGTCGGGGGCCCATTTCTGTGCTGCCCCCAGGGGGGCCCTGAGCCCCCTCCTCCAGGGAGGGACGCCCCGAGCCTGCTCACCCGGGTGCTGTGGGGGCCCCGGCGCTGCCTCGCGTGCAGGAGTGGGCGGTGGGGGCACCGGGGTGTCCCTGACCCCCGAGAAGCCGGGTCCCCGGGAAGGGCCGCCCGCGTGCCTGGGGGACGGGGTCCGGCCCCACTGCCTCGCGGAGCGATGCCAAAGAGAAGAGACGCTGGGAAAGGGCGGAAGGTAGGGGCCGTGAGAAGGTGGGGAGCCCGGACCCGCGCGGTCCTGGGGGTCTGAGGCGGGGACCCTTCGGGGACCCACCGTGCAGACAGCGGGGCTTCCGGCGGGGGCGCCCTGTGTCCGTATCCGTCCGCACAAGGGCGACGCCGCGGGGCCCCCAGCGCACGAGGGGGAGCGTTTCCCCGGGTCGCCGGGTCCCCAGAGCCACCTACCGGGGTGCACGCGCCTGCAACTGAAGAGCAGAGGCTCTTTTGAAGGACGTAGGGAGTCTGCGCTCAGCCAGTCATTTTGTCTCAGTGCTTGTTCGGTGCACCCCGGAAGTGCAGCCTTGATCGTGCGTGAATTCACAAATATCCGTATGCTTCTTTATGATAATTACTTGCTTTTAGAATAAATCACGAACATTTCCGCAGCATCGTCAAACCACCTTCGGCAGGATGTCTTTTACACTCCACTGGGGTTTTCTTATGTGGCATTTGAGGGCGACCCCAAATTTAACGTTTCTGTCTCTAAAGATGGCCCTGGGGCACCTCGCCAGAGGCCAGGGTGGGTCCAGCCCACCGCTTCCTCCTCAAAGCAGCCGTTCTCCACAGAACAGGATTGTCCCTAAGCCTCCGGCTCCAATAAGCAATGTTCCTGAAAGTGGGGCTTAAAATGATTACCTTAAATCAACTCATATGCAAACTTTCTGCTATTCTTTTTAGGATAGGATGAGGCAGAGTGGAATTCTCATGTGTTCACATGTCCAATACATCCATCCCTTCTATGGCTCCATTATGTCACGATCATTCCTGTTGACTTGGTGATAACATGTTGACACAGTATCCACAAGTTTGATTACCTATGATTACCTATTATGAGAAACTAGAAAGCCATTCTGAGCCCCGTTGCTTCTCTGGACAGTGGGAATGAAATAGAAGAACACAAAGTAACAGCCACTTTGACCTGAGAAATGCACAAAAATAAATGCCAATTACTTCTCAGTGTATCCCCATGTGAGATAAAGGATTTGGAGGCCAGCAGCCGTGGTGGAATTTATTTCTGCTGTTCTTCCCTATTGAGGTCATTAATAACAATTGATTTAAAGATGCTTTGTAACTCTACAAAGGTAATCATATTATCTGTTCTGACAACCTGATAAAACACGGGGAAATACATTTTGGAATCCTTGCTTTTCCCTTTGGAAATTGACAAGTAATGAACAAGATGCATTGTTGAGTTTTTGGCAGGGATTTCTATAATGACTATTCTATACGCCTTTTTTATGGACTATATTAAGGGCGCGTTATACATATTTTAGGAAGCAGATGGATCAAAGTTTTTTCTTAGGTTGTGTGTCGCATTATTAAAAATTTGGTACATGTTACAAAGGCATCAGGAATGGAGATTGTTGTCTCTTGAAAATACAGCTTATGCTGCACAGGGACTTAGAGCATCATCAGAACCAAAGGCTGAGCCTGACAGCATGTTCATCTCCTAGTATTTGCAAAAAATTATATTAGGCCTGCCGTAGAAAGCAATCAAGCTTATTATCCATGACCGGAGTCAGAATCCATTTTTGTTCAAGCAAACAGGTTTTATTGTATTGACCTGATGAGGAGAGCTAAGCAAAGACATTTAAAAACCTGAAAGGAACAAAGGAGAGATGGAAAACCACACTGTGGCATTTCCTAAACCAACATGTTGGACTAGCAATACCATCCACTCCATCTCATCATATTTAGTAAGAAAGCCGAGTTTGACCATGACCCTATTATTTTTCAGCTTTGTGGCAACTTAAGGCCACATAGTCCAAATGTTAGGTGAACGGTGGTTCAGACAGTAGTTCAAAATAGTTCAAATGCTAGATAAATGCAAGCTGGGAGCAAAATCTGGATTCTGGAAAATCCGAACAGTCCTTCTGTCACGTCGCTAAGAAGAAGGCGTTGTTGGCCATCCTCTGTAAGTGCAGATAGTTTCATTTCCTGTAAAAAGTTGCCAGTGCCTTGTTTAAGATGATGACTTGTCATCTCAATCTGGATATTATTGGTTCCGATTCAAAGCAGAAGACTGATTGGCTACACTCTGAAGAAAACCTTTCTTACACGTTTCTTTGAACTCAGGAATAGAAAATGACCAAGGAGCACATCATAGTCAGATGTGATGTCTGTGCCCACTGGGTAGGGCATGTGGCATGCAACGGGCAGAAGTGGTGTGCTCAGAGTTCAGGCTAATGTGTCTCAGCCTTCCAGAAACTGACATCACCTTACTTCTGCATCTTCCGTAAAACACCTTAGTGTTTGGTCTGTAGTAGGGATGCCGATGTGCTGTCTATAGAAGTTAGAGTTTTAGTTACTGACCCCTTTCAGTCAAGTCCATAGTACAGGAAAATCAGGCTGGTGGCAGCCGGCACAGATACTCTGAGTGGAATGAGAACCACCTAGAGTTGTTTTGTTTTGTTTTTTAAGTCAATGTCACAACTGCTTCACAAGTTCACAAAGTTGGCACCCTTAATTTGGGTTAGGAAAATTAGCGGTGTTTTTTCTGCTAAAGGTGTTTTCTCTTAAACTATGACTGTTGGCCAAAATCAAACTTGAACTTCTGCACTTTGAAGGAAAGCACAGTATGAACCTTCAGCCCAGGCACCTACAGTCACCACTGAAACTCTCCATCTGCAAAGAAGATGCACAAACTTGGTCCATTGTAGGATTCTTCAAAAGTGTATAAAAAAGCCGGTGTGTCATGCCCCTTGATGTGACTTTTGAAGATGTTATGAAATGTTAAATGCCTCCTTCTGTGTGAATTGCTGTTGCTGTTTTGTGATACAAAATAAACTCATTTGGGATTGTTTCACTTTCTCACCAAACCTTCTCCGAAGCCAACTTTAGCCCTTGGTAAATTCGCAGATAGTTACTGACCTTAAAATTAGTTTTTAAAAGACAATATGTATTAATCATAGTGGAGCTTCTTAGATGAGTTAGCACTGCCTTTCCCTTCCCCTGAACGAGAAAATGTAGTTTCACTTGCCCAGGTGGAGTCCTCATGGATTGCAGGTGTGTCT